AGGAGAGCAGACCAACTCAGGCTCTGCCTCTGTGCACGGCTGTGCTCCGCAGCTCCCCGAGCACAGCTCTGTCCCCGCAGGCACAGCAGAGGTCCTTCAACTTTTTTATTGCCTGCACATGCACCGCTGTAACTTTTTTGCAAGAATACGGGGTAGTTTATTTTTTTCCCCCAAGGCAGTAGGTACTTTTGGGAGGGGGCAGGGGTGAAATGTGTGTTTTTCTGCACACCCCTCATTTCACACTGGTAAATGTCCTGCTATGGTGGGTTGGGGAGGGCAGCTGTGGGGGTCCCTGACTCAGCTGGAGGTTCCAGGCTTCGCTGCCAAAACAGGACCCCCTCCACTGGCAGGGTGAGCCCCAGGGGTCCCTGGAGCCCTGCACTGCCCTGGGGAAGGGGGTGCAGGGCACAGCACTGATCCCCCTGCATCCCACAGCCAGGCTGGGGGGAGGAAACCCACCCTCCAGCAGTGCCGGCAAAGCCAGTCTGACCCGAGCAAATGAAAATAATCAAAAGTAATTAGAAGCGTGCTGGACTGCTCCTCAGAGATCTGTGCGAGAGAATAAACATGCCGGAGCCCTCCGAGCCACTGCAAAGGCCCATGTCTGAGCTGTTAGGTGCCCTGACCTTGTCCACATAAAGACGTGATTTATGAAGTGCAGGGCACAGCAGCAGGGCTTCTGTCTTCTCCAGGAGAACCAAATTACTGAGGTGGAGATTAACATGCTTTCAGTTGGGCCCATTTCCAGACCAAGGGAAATTTCTTATTTACATTTTTTTTTACCTTTAATTTTCTCCTCCTCTCCCTCACTTGGAAACCACCTTTTGGCTGGGAGGGATGAGCCAGGCAGAGTGTGAGTGCAGGAGGAGCAGCAGGGACAGGGCACCAACGTGGGGGGCACTGCAATGCCCACCCCACTCCTTCATCAAGTGCTGGAAATTATCTGACTCTTCCCCCTGAAATCAGCAGCAACACTTGTATTTTCACCTGTTTTTATTTTTTTTTTTTCAAGTTGATATCCACAACACGGGGTAGGAGGAATTGACATGCAGAAACTGTGCCTTGTTGTTGTTTCCCAGGTCTGTCCTGGAGCATTTGGATATGTTAGGAAGCAGTTGTTTTCTGCGTGTTTGTTTCGTTTTGCTTTTCCTTTCTCTCTCCACGTTAATGCACTCAGCCAGTGTTTCAAACACTCATCACAATGTTAGCCAGGATGCTCAGTGTTGTGTTTAGTCACCTTGAGATATATAACATTAAACCCCTCTCGAAAAGGTGGTTGTGAAGCGGCTTGTCTACAAACGAAAGGATAATATTAAGCATAATACGAACATTTACGGTATTTAAAAAATCACCAGTGACTTGTCTGATTTTCCCCCATTGTCCTCGGCAGCGTTTGGCCCCAGGAAGCCCATTAAACGTGGACAGTGCCGTTATTTCATCTGGCTGTGGCCGAGCTGCTTTGCTTTGCTTTAATGATGTGCTGGAATGCACGATGCCCATAGGGTCTCCATTAGAAGAACTTTTACTTCTGGGACGACCATGAAGTTAAAGGCTTAAAAGAGGCATCAGTTTACAGCCTGGTGGGAATTACTAGCAGACTGGAGTACTAACTCCTGACTGCTCCACTAATAGAGCGACTTGTTTTAAATAAACAATTGCCAACGGGACCCTGTGGAAATATTTGGGCCTCTTGAAGGGCCCACCGAACCGTCGGAGGGGAGAGGGGGAAAGGCGGCAAGAGGCGTTTAAAAGATTGTCGCTTGAAAGAAGAAATACCTCGCCGCGTGTTGACGTGTGTATCCACATCCCCGGATCGGGATGTTGGAGGTCCCGACCGGCGGCGGGGCCAGGCTTGACCCCCCGCGCCTCCACGCCCCGGCTCGGGGGCATGATCCTTCCTCCCCCTCTTCCTCCTCTGGCCGCGCTGGTTACACCCGAACCGCTGCGTGCGCTGCATGAAGGGGAACTTAAAAAAAAAAATTAGAAAAAGGGGTTTTCCCCCCCAAAAAAAGGGGAGCGGCGGCCCCGCTCCCGCTGGGGGCGCGGTGTGCCGGCGGCGAGCGCCACCCAGCGGCGGCGGGCGAGCCCCGGAGCGGGCCGGTACCGGAGCCGCTTTTGTTTATCCACCGGCCTTTCCTCCCTTTGTGGCACGGCCCAGGGGGAGGGAAGGGGGGGCTCCGGCTCCCTATCGGGGGCTCTGATCAGGCCGATGGGCTGGAGCAATCAGTTTCCCAGATTACTTGTATTTAATACACAATGCATCATAAAGCAAATCCCTCATCCTGACAGGGAGAAAATAGAACAGCTCATAGCGCGAGCCGGGCCAATTTATGGCTAAATTAAAAAAAAAAAAAAAAAAAAAAAAAAAAGGGAAAAGAGAGAGAGGGAGGAAAAATAAGAAGGAAAAAACCCCCCCAACAATAGGGAGCGGAGGGAGGGCAGGAACCCACGGCCCCGCACACCGGGCGGGCTCCGGTTCCCAGGCCCGGGCGCTCTGGGAATCTCCCACCGGGTTTTTTGAGGTTATTGACAAAGGATTTTTTTTTTTTCTTTTTTTCCTGTCCTACCTACCACCACTGCGTGCGGTTTTCTTCCCCCCCCCCCCCCCCCCC